TGAACGCAACAATCCAAGTAATTACGGTACCGCCCCTAGTGTGAACGCTCGCAGACACACTAGGGGCGGTACCGTAATTACTTGGATTGTTGCGTTCACACTTGAAGAGTTGGGCGGTACCGTAATTACTTAGATTGTTGCGTTCACCTTTGAAGAGTTGGTTAATTACGGTAATTACTTAGATTGTTGCGTTCACACTTGAAGAGTTGGTTAATTACGGTTGCGTTCACACTTGAAGAGTTGGTTAATTACGGTAATTACTTAGATTGTTGCGTTCACACTTGAAGAGTTGGTTAATTACGGGGGTTGGTTAATTACGGTACCGCCCCCGTAATTAACCAACTCTTCAAGTGTGAACGCAACAATCTAAGTAATTACCGTAATTAACCAACTCTTCAAGTGTGAAAGCAACAATCTAAGTCATTACGGTACCGCCCCGAGTGTGAACGCTCGCAGTATATAATTCAACCTCGTCCTGCTTCTGCGAGTGTTCACACTAGGGGCGGTACCGTAATTACTTGGTTTGTTGCGTTCACACTTGAAGAGTTGGTTAATTACGGTACCGCCCCGAGTGTGAACACTCGCAGTATATAATTCATATCTTTCAGCAACTCGGCTTAGGAGACCTGAGGCCAACCCGAATGTGCCTCCAGCTTGCAGACCGTTCTATCAGATACCCTAAAGGGGTAGTAGAAGATGTCCTTGTTCGTGTTGGGAAACTCATCGTCCCAGTGGACTTTGTTGTCCTAGATGTGGGGGACGTACAGGAAAACGGGAAGGACCATACCATCCTTCTCGGAAGACCGTTTATGGCCACCACCAACACCCTCATTGATGTGAAGAATGGGACCTTGAACATGACAGTCTTAGGCGAATCAGTATCTATCTCCGTTCGAGAAGCCATATCCTCCTCCTCGGTGAACTTTGTGGAGGAGTGTGCCTTTGTTGATGTGAGTGACCCGTTCGTGGAAGAGATGACTATACGAGACTTGGAGGAGAGGTCAATGCCCGACCTCGACGACGAAGAAGAGCCAATCATTGAGCTTTTCGCAGCTGACGAGCCACACGCACCTACTCCACCCGCATTAGAGCTTAAGAAATTACCCCGCCATCTCAAGTACGTCTTCCTTGGTGACGAGAAGCAAAAGCCGGTCATCATCTTTGCCGAGCTTAATAGGGACGAGGAGAATGAGCTAATTGAGGTGCTCAAAAAGAATCAGAAGGCCATTGGGTGGAGCCTCAGAGACATAAAAGGCATCAGCCCCTCCACATGCATGCACCGGATCATCTTAGAAGAAGGCGCCAAGCCATTTCGGGATAGCCAACGTCGGCTCAACCCGAATATGATGGAAGTAGTGAAGAAGAAGGTGCTCAAGCTCTATTCCGAAGGGCTTATTTACCCAGTGGCAGACAGCGAGTGGGTCAGCCCGATCCATGTAGTGCCGAAGAAAGGTGGCATCCCGGTCATAGAGAATGAAAAGAAGGAGATGGTTCCCACCCGAATCACTACCGGGTGGAGAATGTGTATTGATTATAGGCGACTCAACGCCGTGACAAAGAAAGACCATTTTCCGCTGCCGTTCATCGATCAGATTCTCGACCGTCTCTCGGGCCATCAGTTCTACTGCTTTCTAGATGGACTCTCCGGATACTACCAAGTAGCCATAGCGCCCGAAGACCAGCCTAAGACGACCTTCACATGCCCATTCGGCACCTTTGCATTCAGACGGATGCCATTCGGCTTATGCAATGCACCCGGGACCTTCCAAAGGTGCATGTTCTCCATCTTCTCAGATATGCTCGAGGACTGCCTACATGTATTTATGGATGACTTCTCTATTTTCGGTACTTCATTTTCTGATTGTCTCCATAATTTATCTCGTGTGCTTGAAAGGTGTATTGAGTCTAATTTGACCTTGAGTTGGGAGAAGAGTCATTTTATGGTGACTAGTGGAGTTGTGTTAGGCCATATGGTGTCTAATCGTGGTATTGAGGTTGATAAGGCTAAGATTGACGTTATTGAAAAACTCCCTCCTCCTGTGAATGTGAAGGGAGTTAGAAACTTTTTGGGTCATGCTGGTTTCTATAGGAGGTTTATAAAGGATTTTTCGAAAATTAGTCAGCCCTTGTGTCACTTGCTTGCTAATGATGTGCCATTTGTGTTTGATAATGCATGTGTATATGCCTTTGATAAGTTAAAGAATAAGCTTGTGACTGCACCTATTGTAATTGCTCCTGATTGGTCATTGCCTTTTGAGATTATGTGTGATGCTTCGAACCTTGCTGTTGGAGCCGTCTTGGGTCAACGAGTTGATAAGTTACTTCGTGTAATTTATTATGCTAGTTTGACCTTAAACGGTGCCCAATTGAACTATACCACCACCGAAAAAGAACTTTTAGCCGTGATATTTTCTCTTGAAAAATTTAGATCTTACATTTTGGGGTCTAAGGTGATTGTTCATTCTGATCATGCGGCTCTTAGGTACCTTTTGAGTAAGACTCAATCGAAACCTAGACTTATTCGGTGGATTTTACTACTGCAAGAGTTTGATGTAGAAATTCGTGATAGAAAAGGTTGTGAGAATGTTGTTGCTGATCACTTGTCTCGCATTGTTCCTTCTGATTCTTCACTCACATTGCATGAGCGTGTTGGCATAAAGGATGATTTTCCTTATGAGTATGTGAGCGAAGTGACTACTATTCCTTGGTATGCAGACATTGTGAACTACTTGTCGTGTGGAATATTGTTGTCTAACCTCTCTTCCCAAGAGAGGAAACGCTTTGTTTTGATGTGCAGGAGTTATTTTTGGGAGGACCCATTCCTTTTCAAAGTAGGGAAAGATGAAATCCTTCAGAGGTGTGTGCCCGAAGAAGAACAAGCGGATGTTCTCGCTTTTTGCCACGAGTTCCAATGTGGAGGCCATTTCAGAGGAAGAAAAACTGCTTTCAAAGTTCTCCAATCAGGTTTATTTTGGCCTACTCTTTTTAAAGATGCTCATAACTTTAGCAAATCTTGTGACCGATGTCAAAGAATTGGGAATATTGGTTCTAGAAACGAGATGCCTCTGGTTAACAATCTGCAAGTTGAAATTTTTAATGTATGGGGCATTGACTTTATGGGACCCTTTCCTAAATCTTTTGGCTTTGAATATATTTTACTTGCCGTAGATTACGTGTCCAAGTGGGTCGAGGCTATCCCCACAAGGACGTGTGATGCTAATATGGTTATCAAGTTTTTGCGAGGTCATATTTTGAGCAGGTTTGGTTTCCCAAGGGCCATTGTGAGTGATGGGGGCAAACATTTTTGCAACCGAATTTTTGAAAAGCTCATGAAGAAATATGGCATTTCACATAAAGTGGCTACTCCGTATCATCCACAGACGTCGGGCCAGGCAGAGACGAGCAACAAGCAGATAAAGACCATACTTGAGAAAACGGTGAACTCGTCTAGGAAAGATTGGTCAAATCGACTTGATGATGCATTATTGGCCCAACGGACGGCGTACAAAGGAGTCTTGGGGATGAGCCCATTCCGGCTCGTTTACGGGAAGGCGTGCCACCTTCCGGTTGAGATCGAGCACAAGGCATTCCGGCAATTAAAAAGAGAAACTTCGACCAGGATGCAGCCGGAAAGGAGCGGCTATTGCAACTCTCGGAGCTAGAAGAGTGGAGGAATGAGGCCTACGAGAACTCCAAGATTTACAAGGAAAAGACAAAAAGGCTTCATGATGCTACCCTTGTCCGGAAAAATCTCGTACCCGGTATGAAAGTTCTTCTCTTTAATTCCCGACTCCGTCTCTTTCCCGGAAAACTTAAGTCTCGCTGGAGTGGACCCTATATTATTGATGAAGTGCTATCATCTGGTGCTGTTCGACTCCGAAACCCAGCGAATGGCGACTTGTTCGTGGTCAATGGACAAAGGGTCAAGCCTTATTTCGAAGGAGAGTTCGAAAAGAATCATGTCGAGACTATCAGTCTCGACGAGCCACTGTATCCTTGATCCAGTCTAGTGCCGAGCTCCCGGCTTAAAACCGAGCATTTTTGTAATTTTTGTATATATATATTCCAAACAAAAAAAAATAATAATAATAAAAAAAAAGTGCATTTTTTTTTGTCGCAGTCAGGTATTAGCGGCGCTAGACCCTTAGCGCCGCTAAGGGAGGAAACAGAAGCGCGGCTAAGAGCTAGCGAGGTGCTAGCGACGTCAGACAGTCTGCTCGAGAAATCCTTAGCGCCACTAAGGTGTTAGCGGCGCTAGCCCCTGGGACTTATTAAAAAAAAAAACCGAAGGCCTGTCATTTTTCAACACTCTCCCTCGAGCAAAACGACAATCCCGACCATATCTCTCAACTGCAAACAAACTTCCGGCCATACCGTCTCCGACCGTTCACCTTACTCCGGCGACTGACCACCGGCGTCCTTCTCCAACCACGAACCTTCGCCCCCCTGTCCATCGTCGATTTCAATAACCCCACAACCCTAGACCGAGGAATCACTTCCAACCCCAACAATCCAACCACCGTCTCCGACCATTTCCCTCCGACGACCATCTCCGGCTATCCTTTAACCTACGACGATCATCCTCGACAGTACATCTCCGGCGAATTCACTTCGTTAGCTCCAGTCACCAATTGTTCTTCACACGAGCTTCTCATAACTTACCTCGGGGCACTTCATCATTTTCGGAAAAAATTCTCACCGAAAGGTACGATTAGCTTCTTAGAACAGCACATTCTTGAATTGTGTGGCGTGAGGAGTCCTACTCCGAGTTTGAATCAGTCCAAATTGTTCACAGCACCTTACGCTCGATTCTCGCACGCCAAGTGTTTGATAGTTTGCCCGAACCAAAAATCATGGTTAAAAGAGGAGCAAATTCGAAGAAAACGGCCCCCTCGACCTCAAAGTCCAAAGCCGCAGCGTCTACGAGTGCCAATCCCGACCCGGCAGCCGAGCCGCAATCTCTAGCCCAACAACACGGTGTTCCTTTCGAAGTTTTTTCAATGGCGGAGGTTGAGGCGTTTAAACGTCTCGATTCAAAGCCATTCACACCTCCCCGCATCCTCCATTAGGGCCTTCTCGAGGACCTTAAGCTCAAAGAAGACATCAAGCGCTACTTGGCATTGCTCGACCTCGAACAATTCGAGGACGTGATTCCGTTTGCATTCAAAACATTGACCTTGGAGTTCTTTACCACAATCGCCAAGCATGAAAATGGAAAATACCTTACCGCTCGTCTCAAGGGTAAGGAGTACAAGATCACGGACAGAGTGTTGAAGGAAATCTATGAATGCAAGTCTCAGACGAAGACACGCCACAGTCCCGCGGGGTTTCAAGTCGACCCGCATTGGGCACTCCTCACTCCATGCGAAAAGTACAAAAAGACCGGCGCATCGTCAGGTTTGCTCACCGATGTAGGACACGCAGTGATTCACAAGTATATCTCGCACATGGTCTTTGGGAAGCGTGAGTCCAACAAGGTGATCGAACAGCAGGTCTTTATCCTTTGGTCGGTATCGAGAGACAAGCCAGTTAGCCTGCTGCAGTACCTCAAGAACGCCCTCTTCGATATACGAAATGACACAAGGCGTGGCCCAAACTTGGGGCATGTAGTTGCGGATTTTGCCGAGTTCTTTGGGGTTGAGATTGACGAACCCAAGGTTAGCGCCCAGTATATTGCCGAGAGGGAGCTCTCCGCCGCCGGGTTCATTGACGATCGTTATACCATTCGTCCCATTCAGAAACGGAGGAGTTACAAGATTTATATGGCATCTATAGGCCGGCAAGTTGCCCCGTCCTCAGCGGCAGCCGGTACTTCGATCGATTCAGCTGGAGAGGCCTCTGATGATGAAGACGAGGACGACTCCGAGGCCGACGGACATCCCACCCACGGCACCATTCAGCCTCCTCCATCGATGGGCGCCCACACGGATGCGTTTTTCCAGTCGGCTCCCCCAGTTTGGTTCTCCGAATATGAGGCTCGGAATGAGGCACGTTGGACTACTTTCACCCAACAGAACGACGCACGTTGGACGTCGTTCGTGGAGTCCAACGACGCACGTTGGACAGAGCAGACCACGAGGTGGAACGAGTTTGTTCACGGCAATGAGGCGCACTGGACAGCCCATGACAGCCGATGGGACACCTGGGCAGCCCAGCAGTACCAGCAGTGGAGCACTTGGGATACCCGTTTCAGTCAGTTGGATACCCATAGGAGTGCGGATTGTAGCCGCCTTCCACCACCAGCACCAGACGCGCAGTGACTTGTCATTGTGCTTTGTACGTTTTTCTTTCTCTTTCTCTTTTATTTTTGTATAGCTTGTTTTATTTTCCAGTCGGTTAATTGTATGGTCTGTCTCTTTTACACTTAGGATTGACAATGGGGACATTGTCTAATTTTAAGTGTGGGGGAGTTTTGCGTGTTTACGTGGCTATGTGGTTGACCATGTCTAGTTTTATTTCTAGGATTGCTTTTGCTTTTCTCTTGTTCTTGCGGACCGGTATATTTTGTAGGATTATTTTTTCGTGTTTTTCTGAGTTTGGACTTTGGTGTATCGTAAGACTAGTTGATGATTGATTGATTGGGTCAAGTAGTTGTGATGATGAGAATGAGTGGCATATCTTGATGAATTGGCTTGGTTGTTCTGTTGACAATTATTTTACCTTGTGAGGTTTGAGCCATGTTTATTTCTTTTCTCGTGAGACATTGGTCAGAATCGTCGTCAGTTAGAATTTGCCTTGAGTCTGCTTAGAAATGAAGTAATTGGATCCGAACGTGAATATGATTGAGGCATTCTTTGTATTTCCCTCCCCTTTTTCTTTTTTCTTTTTTTTTTTTGAAAAAAAATGTCCAAAGGTTCTCACACAAAAAAAAAAGTGAAACCGAATGGATTACGTTAAATTTCCAAAGGTTCTCACACAAAAAAAAAATGGTGAATAAATTGGGTAGTAGGTTGAGTTTGGAGTAGTGGGAGGAATCGGTTGGTGTCAGCAACCGGAGGAATTCATGTTTATGGTTATTGGATTGAGTGGAGTTGATTTTTATTTAGCCAGTTAGCCTATATTTATCCTACCCTATCGAAAGAGCCTACGTTACAACCCTTAAAGCCCTCTTGATTCATGGTTTCACGAATTTGATTGTTTCAGAGTAGGAGTTAGATGATAAGCAAATTTATGATTGATTCGACTGACGACCAATTTGAGTGTACCCAGTTGATATTTGAGAAAGAAATTGAGTGAGGCATATATGATACATTTCTATACTCGAGAACTTATGTCATTCAAAATAGCCAAGTTAATAGTTGAGGTGTGCCCTTGTGATCATTTGAATTCTTCTTGACTTGATTGATTGGTTTGAGATTAGTCTTGCTTGAACCGTTGTCCTTACTCATTTGTTTATTTTCTTTTTTCTTTTCTTTTCCTTTCTTTTTGTTCGGGACGAACAAATGTCTTAGTGTGGGGGAGTTGTTTGTCCCATTTTTGTTGCTATTTTTGCTTATGTTTTGCTTGCATTTTCCCCCGTTTTAGGTCGTCTCTTAGGTGTTACCGGTCCGTCTAGTCGTTTCTCGTGTCTTACCTTTATTTTAATATGTTTAGTATTTTCTTTGCTTTTGTCTCTATTTTCCTTGCTTTTTGTGTTGTCTTCCGGTTTTGGTGTTTCAGTTCGTTCCGGTTCCCAAGAGTTTCGTCCCAGTTCGTGCCACCAGACAACAAAGGATTGACTTTCTAGCTCGGGAAAGACCCGAGAAGATGTTAGCCGAGAGTCCACTAGCCCGGAAAACTAAAAACCAAAAGCTGCCCAGACCCTAGCGCCGCTAAGGGGTTAGCGGCGCTAAGGGTGAGAAAACTAGCGGCGGGTTGGCCTTAGCGAGGAGGTAGCGACGTCAGAGGCTTCTTTTAGGGAAAATGGGGTTAGCGGCGCTAAGGGGTTAGCGCCGCTAAGGTCTGTTTTCAACAGATGCGTTTTTCTTGGATTTTTGAAGAGAGGGGTTTAAGGGATCGAGCTGGAAGCATTTTTGTCATTCTCAGACTGGTTCTTTCGTACTTTTTGGCCTGAGAAACATTTTCTTTTCAATTTCCACTTGGGATTCATTGGATTTTTGCTTGGATTTGGGTTTTGGAGATTTTGGCACTCCAAAACAAACACGGTTTGGCTTGTATTTTGATTTCGTACTTAACTTGGATTATTTGTTATTTCCTTTCATTTAATTATGGATGTGAATTATTGTTTTGAATCTATTGTTGAGATTGATATGAATATTTGTGGCTAAATCATTCGGTTAGGGATAGGAGATATTTGTTTTGGTTCGATTGAGATTCATGAGCTTGTCTGTCGTTCAATCCATTCGAGTTGTGCTTAATCTAGGTTTAGATGCTTGATCAACATCTTAATCTAATTAATCGATTTGTAAAACCGGAAGGGGAGAAATTGATTGATCTTGGCTTGTTTGGAATAGGCATGTTCGTTAATGTATTGCCTATGTGTTAAGTGTGTCAACTATCGATTTGTTAATGTTTGCTCTCTTGTTACGAGATGTTATTGAGAAGGAACCTCTAAGCAAGTAGGTTATTTGATTCCTTAACCGAGCGACTGTGCGCTCATTGAGTGCGTGAGAACCATAAACGAATATCTCCGATTCCCTAACTCTCCAACCATTGTCTGAATTCCGTGATATTTAAAGTGAGTTTGTTTATTTTCAGAATTCGTAGTTGCTAATTGAAATCATATCTTTTGGATTAGAGTGTTTAGGAAATTAATTTCTCTTTTTGTGATTGAATATACGTACAAGATAATCCGGCTAACCTTCCTTGAGATACGACCCCGGGATTGAATCTTCTGGTTTAACTCCGGTAAAAATATTTACAACAATTTTGCTTCCCTGAAGTTTTTGTACCTTGTGTGAAATTTTCATAATTTTTGGAGGTCCTTTGTCTGGTTAATAATTATTTTCTCAAATCTGCAGATTTTTACTAAATTCATGAAAAATCGAAATCCTGATGTTAATTCATGAAACTTGGTCAGAGTGCTCATTTAACATGATATTTGATGGTGTGAAAGTTTCAGTAATTGTTGAATTCATTTTCTTGAGTTTTTATTAAAAACGTGTATTATGTTGAAACTTAGAATAATTACCATAATTCGCTCGATTATTGTTTAGGCAAGAAAATTGTATATGACACTCCCAGCATGCTATATTTACCTTCATAAAAATATTATGTTCAGATTCATTCATTTATTTAGTCTTTTAAATGCATACATGTTTTTGCTGAAAACTTGTATTAATTTTATAAAACCGCATGTTTAGGTGGTAAGGGTGAAATTTAGTGAATTTGATGTTCTTAGCAATGTTTATTATTCCAAATTTCATATCAAAATTCGTTCATTTACTTGGTCATCTAGAAAATGAGTATTAATTGTCTATTTACCCGATTTATTTGTTTAACATGTTAACCTTTGAAATTGGGCATGATCTTTAATATATTAAGTCCTCTTTTCATGTTATGTAAGTGGTGTGAATGTTGAGTTAAGTGGCTGATGTGTCGTACTTCTTGTGTTTGTTTCCATTTTTGGTTCGAGTCGAGTCGACTGCTCCATATTCCACGAGAATCCTCCACGAGCCACTTAATCGACGAATTCGACTAAGTTTATGTTTTCGTTGGACTAGTAGTAATCGAGAGTTATCTTGATTTCGTGTAGGTGTCCCGAGGTGTTGACCTCAAATCCTACCGTTCGAATCATATATTGTGAAATTTATCGCTGCTATCAGGTGGGTTCATTTATGTTGAATCTATATTTATCGCACTTGTTATTTCGTATAAATGATTGTTTCGATAGCTTCTATATGCGTGAGAACCCTAGTCTAAGCGTCGCGTCGATAGAGCCTTTGATGAATGCATAATCAGTGGAGGTCACCTGCCCGTTGTATCCGGGAGGTAGACGCCCAAATCCGTGTAGAGCGGAGGGATAAGAACAGCTCCACTGTCTCCTGGATAAGGTCCTATGCCCGTTGCATCCGGGGTGGGAATGTTTTCGGTTACATCCTTGCCGATGTCTGGTCAGAAGGTTTGTTGTATGTACATAAGAGGTTTGTTATAGGGCCAAATAGGTAGTTAGATCTGGATTCTATGCATACATTATTTATAGTTTTGAATCTTTATGCGAGATATATTGTGCGCTAATGGTGAGTATGATGGTGATACTCACCCCCATTATTTTCCTGTCCTCTTGTTCCTCTCCTATCTTTAGGTTGAGCATGGTTTGCGGTGGCAGTGAGGGACGATCGAGTGGTGGTCGTTGGATTATTGTGTCTTTGCTTCTGCTCTTTATTATTTTGTTGAAACACTTGTTTTTATTTTGGATAATTATGCTTCTGTTTTGATTTTATGAACATGTTGGATGAACCGTTGAATCATGTTGAACTATCTGGATGGTTTTGTGACTTATGAATAATGTGTTTATTTTTATATCTGTTAGGTCATGCATGTGTAGGTTCTACGTATTTGTTTAATTGTTGTTGGTAGTTAGGTAGCGCCCGTTAATAATTAATGTTTTAAATTTGGATTTTACGAAAAATTGACTCTGATTTTTATAAATAAACTCGGTAAATCCTTTAAAATAAAATGGGGCGTTACAGGCCTGTTCAATGTAGAACTATGGCTCATCGTAACACTCGCAACACCGACAACAATCGGCAGCCGACCCCGCCTCTATCCCCACCTCATTAGCAGGCTCCTCCTAACCCGAATCTGGACTTTTCGAGGCTCTTAGTCCAATTCCAGGGCATGAACCCACCCAGCTTTATGGGGACCGAGAACCCCACCGTGAGGAGCTTGACAAGATCTTTGTCGTGTTTCTTCTCTCGGATGCGAACTGCGGCTCTCTTGCCACTTTCCAGATGAAGGCGGATGCATCCGATTGGTGGCTTGACTGCTGGGCTCTGAAGACAGTGGCTGAGCGTAATGCTATTACTTGGGATCTGATGAAGGAGGTTGATCGGGGCAAGTTCCTACCGAGTTTTTGTGACCGGATGGAGCACGATTTCTGGCATCTGCAGCAGGGCAACGCTAGCGGGGATGAGGAAACGCACAACTTCACCAGGATCAGCATCTTCGCTCGTGAGATGGTGAACACTGACGAGAAGAAGGCCCGGAAATTTCTGAAGGGGCTAAACCAGAGGATCCGTGAGCTGGTTGGGAGTCACGGTTTGATGTCCTATGCTGACACTGTGCGTCGGGCACACGAAGTGGAGAGCTGCCTTATTCCGATAGCGCCCGCTCCCTCGTACTACCATGCTTCGCATCATGTTTAGACTGCACCACCAGCCATTCCCCCGCCATCCTATCAGCCGCCGATCATTCCGCAGATAACTTGTCAGTATCTTGTCCTTTATGCTCCAGCTCCCCCATTCTTTAGCTCTAACAAAAGGAAGAATGATCATCAGAACCGCAAGAAGGGCAAGCGCCCTAACCATGGTCACCACCCGCACCAGCATCAGCCCGTGGCACAAAATGCTCAGCCTTTCCGCCAGTTCCCGGCAGGACTGCCGCCGTGTGGAGCATGCAGGCGAGTCCGCGAGGCCAATATGTATCGAGCTGTCGACATAACCTGCTACAACTGCCAGAGGAAGGGTCATTACTCCAGTCACAGCCCAGAACCTCGGAGGCCGAATCAGCCCCAGCACCAGCATCAGCAGCAGCAATAGCAGCGTGCACCAGCCCAAGTTTATGCCTGAATCAGGAGGAGACAACGAACAATGCAGGTACAATGTCTGACATGTTATCTTTATCAAATGTACCCATATTGCATTATGTAACACCCCGCTTATCAGAGTAATTTTTTCGCAACTTTTATTTCGAAATTACTTATAACTCTTTCGAAATCTCTTCGCGAATAACTCGGGATGCTACTTAAACTCCTCCTTCTTAAAAATCTGTTTAACTTTAACTTTGTCTAATTATTTATTTTAGA